GCAGTACGTCGGGCATGGGGCTTGTGCTTGGAGGGCGAGACCGGGTTGTTCTCACAGGGCACTCAGACGCTTCTTGGGCAGACGACCAGGCTACTCAGCGGTCGTCCCAGGGTTACACCTTCAGCCTTGGCTCTGGCTCAGTTTCTTGGCGTTCTACTCGCTCTTCTTCTGTTCTCAGCTCCAGTTGTGAGGCTGAGATCTACGCCACAGCCATGGCTGCTCAGGAGCTACGCTGGCTGACCTACCTGCTGACCGACCTCGGAGAGCGGCCTCGTTCTCCTCCAGTGCTGTACGTCGACAACAAGGCTGCCATTGCCTTGTGTGAGGAGCACAGACTGGAGCACAGAACGAAGCACATCGCTCTGCGGTACTTCCTTGCTCGAGAGCTGCAGCAGCGTGGTCAGCTTTGTCTGCGTTACGTGGCCACGGAGGCCAACACTGCTGATGTGTTCACCAAGGCGCTTCAGCCTTGTGACCATCAGCGCTTTTGCACTCTGCTAGGCCTTGTACCTACTGGGCCTCACTTGCTTACCTCTTGACCTTGCTTGTACTGTGATCACTATATATATATGCCTACTTGTTTACTTTTGCTAGGTTGTGATCACTGTATCTCTTGCTTTGTTATAAACCTGCATGTGAACTGGTCTTGTGACCGCTTGCTTGTGCTCGGAATTTGTGTGGAGTCCTTGAGATCCACCCTGAGCTTGCTTTGCTTTGCTTTGACTGGTCTTGTGACCCTGTGGTTGTCTCCCACTGCGCCTATGGGGGTGTGTCAAACATTGCATGTTTATATTGTGTAGGCTGTAGTGGGTTACACCTTAGGGGGTACACAAAGTTAGGGTTTCCTACTTGTACCAAACTCTGTGCTAGTTCATTCCATTCCTGCTCAGTTATTTCTGACAGCAGCAGCAGAGAAAACATCGGTAGCAGCAGAGACAACAATGGCAGCAGCAGAAACAACATCGGCAGCAGCAGAAACAACACTGACACCCATCGCTGGTCCTTCGACGACACCAGTAATTCTCGACGACACGCCATCAACTCCTGCGCAACAACTGACTCCCACTCCACACGAAGTCCACTGGAGCCCACACTTCACCGCAGGCTTCTACTCCAACTCCGACTTGTATAGACGTTCACCCGGACACCGCGTTGGCGAAGACATCTGGCACAACAGACTGGGACATCCAAGCAACACCACGTTAAATAATACAATACGAGTAGGCGTTCTCGAAAAAGATTCACTACTTATGCAAGACGGGAGAGAACTTCAACGGGTTCGAGGAACATGCTTTACCTGCCCCGAAGCCGACTTACCGCATCAGCCGTTCGTCTCTCACCACAACCCGAGCGCTCCAGCATACGCACCACTGGAGAAGGTGTACAGCGATATTCTGTACAACCGCGAACCCGGACACGGAACATACAGCTACGTCATTACGTTCATCGACGCTGCCACACGTTACGTCTGACACTTCAACCTCCCTAGCCGCGACATGGCCTTCGAAGCTTTCGTCGCCTGGCTCCTAGTAGCAGAACGAGAGTCAGGAGTGAAACTGAAAAGTTTCCAAACAGCTGGGGGAGGGGAATATCAGTTACAGCGATTCAAGCAGTACCTGGTAGAACGAGGCATTAAGAGGCTCATCTCCCTTCCCTACGCCCATCAACAGCAAGGTGTGGCAGAAAGAATGAACAGGACCCTCCAGAACACCATGCGCAAACTGCTACGTGGCATGCGGCTACCCAACCACCAGTGGCCCGACGCAATGGACCATGCCCTTATGCTGCACAACTTGCTTTCATCGTCGTCACTCCCGAACAACGCATCACCGCATCTGCTGTGGACAGGGAAATTGGGCAGCACAAAAAATGTTGCAATTCTTCGGTTGTATGGTACAGTACGGAACAACCCCCAGCTGCATGGGCCGGCCGATTCTCCCAACGCGCACAGTGGGGGCTACACCTGGGCATCGAAAAACATTACAACGCATGGAAGATTTTCGACATCAACTTAAAGGAAACAGTAGCAGCACGTGACGTCATTTTCTACGAACGACTCACGCTTCAGACATACCTTACCAACTTGGAAGAAGCACGAGACCCCACAGGTGGATTTGACGCGAAACCAAGCCTTCGCTTCGGCAGCTGACGAGGTCGATTGGGACGAACAGAATGTGGTTAGCCAGCACATTTCACAACGAATTCTCCTCGAGATCGCCGCCATGAAGTGGAAGAAACTTCGGCAAATCGACGTCGCCAACGCTTTTCTCTACGCGCCCGTCGATGCAGAGATTTTCGTCGAACAACCACACGGCTCTAACGCAGAACCCAACCAAGTCTGTCAACTGCTGAAGTCTCTTTACAACATCAAACAGGCTCCGAGACTGTGGCAGCAGTACCTACATGCCCGACTCATTCGCATCGGATTCTGCCAGCTACCGCACGACCAAGGAATGTACCGGCTCAAGAAAGGTACCGACTACATCTTGCTGATCGTTTACGTGGATGACCTACTCTACATCGGCTCAATTGACGGCGTTACAACCTGGTTCGAAGGGGAGCTGCAGCGGGATCCAAACTCACCGTCTCGTCCAAACGTGACACAGTATCTTGGGCTCAATATACAGGAAGAAGAAAACGCGATTCATCTCAGCGCCGCGAAGTACGCCGACACCATCGCCAAACGCTTCGGATTAACTCCAGCCACTATCACTATGCCGTATCGCTACACCGATGGAAAACGTAAAGAAAAACCCGCGCCACTCAAGCCCGCCGGCATACGCGACTACCAGCGAAAGCTATGTTGTTTGCTCTTCGCAGCCGTCACCTGCCGACCAGACCTATCGTATTCGGCAAGCCAGCTCGCCACCTACCTCAAGAAACCCGAAGCAGAGCACATGGCCGAGCTTGATCGCGCACTTCACTATCGCGTCAGCACCCCGATAATCGGTCTAACCTACCACAAGAACGGAACCACATCACCTAAGTTGATCGGCTATGAGGACGCAGACCACGCTGGCGACGCCGACAACAGGCGCTCACGCACCGGCTACATCTACCGTTTCGAGCCTATTGGACCTATCTCGTGGCAGTCGAGTAAGCAGGAACTAATCGCCCTCTCCTCAGCTGAAGCAGAGTACATTGCATTCTGCTCAGCCACTAAGGAAGGCTTGTATCTTTGCGAACTACTGGAAGAAGCGAAGCTGGCTCAGTTACCCAGCTTCTCTCTGTTCTGCGACAATCAGTCAGCATCCGCATAGCGAACAAGAATGGGTTCGCGAACAGGACGAAGCATATTGCCCTGCGATATTTCTTCGTGAAGGACGAGATCGAGAAGGGGAGACTCGAACTAGCCTACTGCCCTATATTCGAGATGGCAGCCGACTATTTGACCAAGAAGCTTGGAAAGCAGAAGTTCGAATACTGTATGCTGCCGTCTGGACAGGGTCACTAGTCGTCCTGGGTCTAGTCTGTACACTCTGTCTACTGCGCCGCCTCAGGTCGCTGCGTCTGCTCAGGTGTCCGCGTCAGGTCAGGTAGCAGCCTCATGCTCGTGTCGCCTCCTGTCACACCAGACGCTCCTTTGGCACCACCGCCTTGATCAGCCCTCCCTGCCACGCCTCCGTGGCATGCACTCCCGCTTCCTGGTCTCTGGTCTTCCCAGGTCTCTGCCTTCCCTCCCACCCTCGCCTGCCCCGCCCTGCATTCTTTGCGGAGAGGGGCGGCAGCGCGCCACTCCTCACTCCTCCTCGTTTCCCTTGACAACTGCTCCTCTGCAGACTCTCCACATGGACGTGTGGGGCCCAGCCCGCGTCACTGGACAGGGCCGCGAGCGGTACTTTCTGCTGGTTGTTGACGACTACTCGCGTTACACCACGGTCTTCCCCTTGCGCAGCAAAGGTGAGGTCCCTGATGTTTTGATCCCTTGGATCCGCGCTGCCCGTCTCCAGCTCCGCGAGCGGTTTCGCACGGACCTTCCTGTCCTGCGTCTACACTCTGACAGAGGTGGTGAGTTCTCCTCCAACCTCTTGCGGGACTTTTGTTAGGGGAAGGGCATCCTCCAGTTGTTCACGCTTCCGGCCTCACCGCAGCAGAATGGGGTTGCTGAGCGCCGCATTGGCTTAGTCATTGAGGTGGCTCGTACCTCCATGATCCATGCGGCTGCTCCCCATTTTTTGTGGCCGTTTGCGGTCCGGTACGCTACGCATCAGCTCAACCTCTGGCCCCGTGTCTCCTTGCCGGAGACCTCGCCCACACTGCGTTGGACGGGGGAGGTTGGCGATGCGTCGCGGTTCCGAGTATGGGGCTCTCGTTCCTTTGTCTGCGATACCACCGCGGACAAGCTCTCCGCTCGCGCCATTCCCTGCGTCTTCCTTGGCTTTCCCCCTGACGCGCCTGGCTGGCAGTTTTACCACCCCACCTCGCGTCGTGTCTTCCCCTCTCAGGACGTCACGTTTGACGAGTCGGTTCCCTTTTACCGACTCTTCCCCTACCGCACTGCCCCCCTCCCCCCTCCGCCGCTCTTCCTTGCTCCAGGTCCCCCTCCGGTAGACCCCCTCCCCCCCCTGGGGGTCCTGCTCATTTAGGTGTCTCTCAGGTAGACTCACTTCTCTTGGCTAAGCCTGTCAAGGTCACTGGTGACTCAAGTGCTGTTGGGAGTGGTCCTGCTTGAGGTGCTGCGTCTGTGGGAGCTGAGCCTGGGGGTGCTGAGCCTGAGCGTGCAGAGCCTGGGGGTGCTACGCTTGAGTGTGCAGAGCCTGGGGGTGCTGAGCCTATAGGTGCTGAGACTCGGGGTGCTGCGCCTGAGCGTATTGAGCCTAGGGGTGCTGCGCCTGGGGGTGCTGCTTCTGGGGGTGCTGAGCCTGGTGGTGCTGCATCTGCTGGTGGTCTTCCAGGAGCCTCGCCGCAGCGGTCTCCCCAGCGTGAGCCCCTCTCACCACAGCAGCTGCGCGAGTGGCTTGCCCGGTGCTCCCGCCTTCGGAGTCACGTTGGAGCTGGAGATGCTGGAGCTGGAGGCGCTGGAGCTGGTGGTACTAGAGTTGGAGGTGCTGGAGCTGGAGGCACTGGTGCTGGCACTGGAGGTGCTGGAGCTGGAGGTCCTGGCGTTGGAGGCGCTGGAGCTGAAGGCATTGGAGCTGGAGGCACTAGAGCTGGAGGCGCTGGAGCTGGAGGCGCTGGACCTGGTAGCCATGTGCAGCAGCGTGAGCCCCTCTCACCACAGCAGCTGCGCGAGTGGCTTGCCCGGCGCACCCGCCTTCGGAGTCGCGCAGGAGCTGGAGGCACTGGAGCTGGAGGTGCTGGCACTGGAGGTCCTGGAGCTGGAGGTCCTGGCGCTGGAGGCGCTGGCGCTGGAGGCACTGGAGCTGGAGGTGCTGGAGCTGGAGGCACTGGCGCTGGAGGCGCTGGAGCTGGAGGTACTGGAGCTGGAGGCGCTGGAGCTGGAGGCGCTGGAGCTGGAGACCCTGGAGCTAGAGGAGCTGGTGCTGGGGGTACTGGCACTGGAGACGCTGATGCTGGAGGTGATGGCGCTGTCGCTACTGGAGCTGGAGGCGCTGGAGCTGGGGGTGCTGGCGCTGGAGGTGCTGGAGCTGGAGACACTAGCGATAGAGGAGCTGGTGCTGGAGGTACTGGCGCTGGAGACGCTGGCGCTGGAGGTATTGGAGCTGGAGGTGCTGGAGTTGGAGGCGCTGGAGCAGGAGGCCCTGTGCAGCAGCGACCATTTTTCTTGCAACCGCCGCAGCTGTCCGAGCTTCCACCCAAGTCGGTGCTTCGTCAGGTTCTTAGTCTTCCTTCGTCCACTGTCCTTCCTCCGAACTCACCGCTGCCTGTCCCGTCTCGTTACACTGAGTAGTCGGTTTCCCTTACAGAGCGTCGTGAGCCTGCGTCTCGTCCTGCCTCCCCTGCGTGCTCGTCGTGTCCCGCGTTCGCGTCCTCCTATTGTGCCAGGTACTCACACTATGGTACTCAGCACTTGCCTCTGCCGTCTCCTCCTGCGTCCTCTCTTCTTTACGTTCCGGACCCTGAGTCAGACCGTGTTCGTGCTGCCAGCCCTACTGTCACCCGTCTCTCGGCTACTGTTGTTACTGACCCGCCACTTGAGTCTGCTGTTGCGTCTGCCTTAGTTGTTGAGCTTGTGGACTTTGCTGCTGTGTGTCGTCTAGACTACACCGCCAGTCTTGTTGCTGAGTCTGAGTCTGTCTGTCCTCCGTCCGTCTGGGGTGAGTGTGCTCTTGGCACGGACGACCTTGAGGACAGGCAGGAGGACTTTGAGTGTCATGCGACTGCTGTACCTCATTTCGGGCCAGGCTGCATGCACCAGAGGGAGACCCGGATGCACTGAACATCCCGACCCCGCGCTCCTACGCAGAGGCGATTTCGGGTCCCTACTCCTCTCAGTGGCAGACAGCCATGGACGCAGAGATGGCATCCTGGAAGTCCACAGGCACCTACGTCGACGAGGTTCCCCCTCCTGGGGCGAACATTGTCGATGGCATGGAGATTTTCAAGGTGAAGCGGCCTCCGAGTTCTCCGCATGTCTTCAAGGCGCGTTACGTTGCACGAGGCTTCAGTAAGCATAGGGAGTGATTTCTTCCAGACCTTCTCCCCTACCCCAAAGATGACCACTCTTTGGGTGCTGCTGCACGTTGCCGCTCAACGTGACTACGAGCTTCACTCGCTTGACTTCAGCACAGCGTTCTTACAGGGCAGCCTGCACGAGGAGATCTGGCTGCGCTGCCCACCTGGCTTCACTGGGTCGTTCCCTCCTGGTTCCCAGTGGAGCCTCCGGCGCCCAGTCTACGGTCTCCGCCAGGCGCCTCGTGAGTGGTACGACACACTGAGGACGACACTTGCGGCTCTTGGGTTTGCTCCTTCCACTGCTGACCCGTCGCTGTTTCTACGCACCGACACTTCGCTGCCGCCGTTCTACATCCTCGTGTACGTCGACGACTTGGCTTTTGCCACTGCTTACACCGAGGCACTGGGCGTTGTAAAGTCGAGGCTGCAGAAGAGACACACGTGCACAGACCTGGGTGAGCTGCGCAGCTACCTTGGCTTGCAGATCACTCGGGACAGAGCACGCCGCACCATCACCCTGACTCAGTCACACATGGTGGAGCAGGTCCTTCAGCGCTTCGGCTTCCAGTTCTCCTCACCACAGTCCACTCCTTTGCCTACCGGTCACTCGCTCTCAGCTCCACCTTCGGACGAGTCCGTAGAGCCGAGTGGCCCATATCCAGAGCTTGTGGGCTGCCTCATATACCTGATGACCTGCACGCGACCTGACCTTGCGTACCCTCTTAGCATCCTAGCTCGCTACGTTGCGCCTGGGAGACACCGGCGAGAGCACTGGGAGGCTGCTAAGAGGGTGCTGCGCTACTTGTGCAGTACATCGGGCATGGGGCTGGTGCTTGGAGGACGGGGTCGAGTTGTCCTCACTGGACACTCAGACGCCTCTTGGGTTGACGACCTGGCTACGCAGCGGTCGTCACAGGGTTACACCTTCAGCCTTGGCTCTGGCTCTGTTTCTTGGCGGTCTACCCGCTCGTCTTCGGTTCTCAGCTCCAGTTGTGAGGCTGAGATCTATGCCGGGGCCATGGTTTCACAGAAGTTACGCTGGCTCACCTACCTGCTGACTGACTTGGGAGAGCGGCCTAGTGTTCTCCAGTTCTGTATGTCGACAACAAGGCTGCCATCGCCTTGTGTCAGGAGCACAGACTGGAGCACAGAACGAAGCATATCGCTCTGCGTTACTTCCTTGCTTGAGAGTTGCAGCAGCGTGGCCAGCTTCGTCTTTCTTACGTGGCCACTCGGGCCTACACAGCTGATATATTCACCAAGGCACTTTCGCCTGGTGATCATCAGCGTCTCTGTACTGCTCTAGGCCTCGTGCCTACGTTTTCTCACTTGCTCACTTCTTGACCTTGCTTGTACATCGATCTGTATATATCCTTGCATGCTCACATTTGCTAGGTTGTGATCACTGTACTGCTTGCTTTGTTTTATATAACTCTGCATGTGAACTGGCCTTGTGGCCGTTTGCTTGTGCTCGAAATGTGTGGTGACTTCGTGATCCACCCTGAGCTTGCTTTGCTTTTCTTGACTGGTCTTGTGACCACTGGTTCTCCCCCACTTTGCCTATGGGGGTGTGTCAAACTATAATGATGCTTGTTGTGTGTAGGCTGTAGTGGAGTTGCCCATAAGGGGTACAACCCAGATTAGGGTTAGTACTTGTACCTCACATTTCTCTTCAATGCATCATTCACTCCTGCTAGTTTCTCACAGTTAGTCCTAGTTGATAGGCTTAGAACATTTCTCGCCTTGGAGTGGTACTAGATCGTGACTAGGGGGCGGGTATCAACCAAGTTCCACCAGCGAGAGCACGTGAGAGAGAAAAATGAGAAATAGAAACCCTAGGGCACTGACAATATTGTCGCAAAGGTAACTCATTTAGAGTTTCTGATGGTTGCATGTTGTATATTCTTTGGCGCAAATGGTGGAAAATGATTGAGCAAAGAAGAGGTTGCATATTCAAAACTTGTGAGGGTAGTCAAGATCAGTATTCATCCTAGAAACGCTTTCTTAAATGCACAAGGAAGTTCTTTTCATAACTTATGAGCAACATGTCTGAGGTAATCGTTTGTAAGCAGTCCCATAATCGAAATGTGTTGTGTTTGATACCTCGTGCAACCATTTTACAAACCCATACAGAACAATCATTCAAGCTACAGGGCGTCATGTTGTATAAAGGTTCAAAAAAGCTTCGCAAATCTAAGACGATTTTCTCGCCTCTTGATTTTTTTTTAGGGTTAAGGGTTTTTTTTTTTTTTTTTTTTTTTTTTTTTTTTGGCTAGTAGGTACTCATTTGATGCTTCTAATCAACTAGGAGCAGGCCATGCAACACGACTGGTGTTCAACAATACAAGACTAAGTGGATGAGCTTGAGGCAATGCATTAAGGCAAGACGACAAGACAACTTTCAATTTAAGGATAGCCAACTTGCAAGCGAAGATTTCCAAGACGGGTTAAAACATGCGACCCACAAGTAGATAAGTATCATTTTACACCTTGTTCCGCTCAACTTCATTTCCACTCATTGGTGTTATTCATTTTCATGCCCACCATGCTTGAGCACTTACCACAGCTGCTGCATGAACCACCCATGTTATATAGCATATGTATTTTTTGGTACCCTTTTCTGGTGAGTTCATAGGTTCTTTTTAAATATATTTTACTTATTTCGTTCTTATGGCTGTGGTGGCGAGCACTCTTGCTGCGTGCACCTGCATATCCACACATATCATTTAGCATACATATACTTGCCTTTCCCGTTTGGAAGACCTTCCAGTGTCACTTGTACTTACCCCACCTCCTCCCTTCTTTGACAGGCAAAGGCTCTTCAACTCCATCAACTGCGTCGGAGCTGCAAGGTGCTTCTGAATGTCAACGGGCACTTTCCATTGAAGGTTTCCAAGAGCATGTTTTCCAAGAGCATGTAATCTGAAGTCCCGAGATTCAAGCTTCCTTTTAGATGTGAAGTTGTAATCATTTGACAGTTTTAATGTGTGGAATACGCACTAGCTTTCCTCGTTTTGCTTGTAGAAGCTTCAATATATAAGTGGCCACTTTCCATTTAAGATGATGAAGAGTCTATATTTTGAAGTTTCAAGATTCAAGCTTCCCTTAAAAGGTGATGTTTGACAGATTCAATGTGTGGCACACTCACTAACGTTCCACTTTCTTCCTGCAGGTGCTTCAACGTGTCAACGGACACTTTTCACTAAAGATGGCCATGAGTCTACAATCTGAAACATCAAGATTCTAGTATCCCTCAAGAGGTAACATGAATATTTTTAAAAGCTTTAACGCTGTTCAAAACTGTATATTTGAAAGCAAAGCGGCTTGTAATGTAGCAATGGGTATTGGAGAATCGCGCTAGACATCCGTTTTGGAGTACAAAACGTGGGCTGGAGATCATTTTCCCTCCACCCACATCTCTCTCATTTTCAAAACGATTTAGTCTACTTTTGTCAAACATTATATGTTTATATTGTTCTAGGCTGTAGTGGGTGATACCTTAGGGGGTATACCAGGTTAGGGTTTCATATTTGTACTGTTGTTCCTGTTAGTCACATCATTCCTGCTCAGTTATTTCTGACATGGTTTCAGAGCAGGTCCTTCGCTAGGACTGTTCTTAGGGCCCACCGACTTACCTACCTGCTTACCTTCGCTTGTTTCCGGCCCCGCTGGCCCCGTCGATCTAGCACGATCTAGCGGCCCTGCGGCCCCGTCGAACTTTTTTTTTTTTTTTTTTCCTAGCGGCCTCTCACGGCCCCCGTCGCGTCGCCCCTTAGCGCCCCGATCGGCCCCGTCACGCCGCCCGCGAACCGCACAGCGCGCCGCGCTCACAGCCCGCGAACCGCCCACGCACAGCCCGCGAACCGCCTGCGCAGCCCGCGACCAGCCCGCGCAGCCCGCGCACAGCCCGCGAACTGCCCGCGAGCAGCCCGCGACCTGCCCGCGAACCCCCGCGAGCCGCCCGCGACCCGCTTACGCAGCCCGCGAGCAGCCCGCGCAGCCCGCGCTGAGCCTGCGCGGCTCGTGCGCTGACCGCCGCCGGCCCGCACGCTGCCCGCACAGCTCACATACGGCCCGCACGGCCCGCGCGCTGCCTGCTCCCGGCCCGCCGCTGCTGAGCCCGCAGCCGCCCGCGCACCGCCGCTGCTGAGCCCGCCGCCGCCCGCGCACCGCCGCTGCTGCGCCCGCCGCCGCCCGCGTATCACCGCTGCTGAGCCCGCCCCTGCTGCGCCGGCTCTCGCTGCCGCCTGCTGCGCCTGTGCACCACTGCAGATCCTACTACTACACTTCCTGCTACTGCTGCTTGTGCGCCACTACAGTCCGTAGGCCCCACCGGCCCCGCTGACCCTGCGCACGCCTTTTCAGTGACTTTACTGCTTCTACTTCTGCCGCTGTCGCTATGGCTAGTCCTCCTGTTCTAGCTTTCGACGCCGAGGGCCGTCCGGTCAAATTCGAAACCTGGCTAGATGACCTGCACCTTTTCCTACAGCTCACTGCCAAGGAAGATATTACACTGTACGACCACGCTCTCGGCCATGCGACCGCCCCACTCGCTACTGCCCCCCCAGCTGAGCGCTCACAGTGGCAGACCCGTGACGCGCACGCTCGCTTTGCTATTCGCAACTCCCTGCCGCTAGATGAGCGCGAGCACTTCGGCCAGTGCAAGACTGCTAAGGACCTCTACACAGCTGTAGTGGCCCGCTACTCCTCACCCGCTTCTGCCACGCTAGGCCGCCTCACTCTCCCCTACCTGTTCCCCGACCTAGCCTCCTTTCACACTGTCGCAGACCTCATCACCCACCTTAAGACTAGTGAGGCTCGCTTTCGCGCTGCCATGCCTGACGAGTTCCTCGCTAGCAACCCCCCCCCGCTCTGGATCACTCTCTACCACGTTGTCACCCGCCTCCCTGACTCTCTGCGCCCTGTCAGGGACCAGTTCCTCTCTCGCTCCCCCACTGAGCTCACCGTAGACCTCCTCGAGAAGGAACTGCTTGCAGCCGAGGCTAGTATCGTCGCTGTAGGCACCTCTCGTGGCGACCCCCGCGGCCCCTTCTTCGAGGGGTGCTCCCCTTCCCCCCTCCTCCCCTCTGTCGCATCTGCTGCTGCTGTCGACCTCCTTGGTGCTGAGAAGGTCGGGGCTGCGTCTGCTTCAGGCGGACGACGCAGGGGCAGGAGTGGCAGGAGTGGGGGTGGTGGCGGAGGAGGCGGGGGTGGAGGTGGTGGCGGTGGAGGTGCGACTGGAGAGGCTAGTGGCGGCAGTGGTGGAGGTGACAGCGGTGTTGGGAGTGGTGACAGGGGCGGAGGTGGCAGCGGAGGCGGAGGTGGTCGTGGCAGCGGCAGGGGTGGAGGTGGCCGGGGCGGAGGCGGAGGGGGTGGTGGTCGTGGAGGCCCGGGGGGCGGTCAGAGTCAGCAGCCTGCCCCGACCCTTCAGGCCGCCCGTGAGTGGTATGCGCGGCGCAGCGTCACCTGCCAGTACGTTATTCGTACAGGTGACCGCACTGGCCAGACGTGTGGGGGGCCGCACCAGACGGAGCGCTGCTTCGCCCGCCTCAACGACGCGTGGCGCACCCAGTTTCCTGGTGGGGGTGAGCTGCCGCGCTGGGCTGAGCTGCTCAGGAAGGGTGTTGATATTTGGGCACTAGACTTTGATGCTATTCTCACTGCCATGTATGCGATGTCTATTAGTGGAGAGGGTGCTCAGTACTTGCGTGTTCCGCCCGACCCGGGCATTCAGGCCAGCCCCGCTGCTGCTCTAGGTGCTAGTGTGTCTGCTTCCACAGGTACTACTGCAGCTGCTGCTCTAGGTGCTTGTGCGTCTGTGCCCCCTGGTACTGAGTCGACTGCAGCACTGCACACCTTCACACTGGACTCAGGTGCTTCTCGCTCTTTCTTTCGTGACCGCACTGTCCTTGAGCCTCTAGCTCGGCCGGTTGCTGTCTCTCTTGCTGACCCCTCTGGGGGTCCGGTCCTTGCGACCTCCTCCACCACCCTTCCGTGTCCAGCGGTTCCGTCCGGCACGCTCTCAGGTCTCTACCTCCCCTCGTTCTCCACGAACTTGGTGGCAGGTAGTGCGCTCCAGGACGGGGGTGTTCACCAGTTCACCCCTGCCTACGAGCGTGTGACTCACTGCACGTGTGCTCGGACGGGCCGCCACCTAGCTACTTTCACTCGAGAGCCGGGGTCTGACCTGTACACACTGACCACTGAGTCCCCTCAGGTAGCTGCGTCTGCGTCAGCGTCAGGTCAGCTGTCCGCCCCCTGCTCGTGTCGCTCTCTGGCGAACGACACCGTCCTCTGGCACCACCGCCTTGGTCACCCGTCTGTGCAGCGCCTGCGGGCCATGC